ATAGGAAAATGTTATTTTGTCTCTTATTGGGATAAGTATGCTAGCTGTAGCCATTTACATCCAGTCTTTGTGCTAAGCTAGGCTAGCGGTGGGTGCGTCAGACAGTTACAGCACGCACGGGGATGAAGAAGGTATGTGTGGACTTATCTAACTCTGGGGGATACGGGGAATAAGCTAAAGTCCAAAAAAGTCGGAGTGTTCCTTTAAGAATTTTTAGATATTTGGACTGGAAACTAGACAGAAACACTGAGTAAGAGCAGCATGTGTGCAGTGTGTCCACGGTGAGCTCTTCGTGTCCGCAGGTGTGTGTCGGTGTCGCAGCTGAAGCGCGAGCAGAGGACCGCTTGCTTTAGCAGCCTCAGCTGGAGCTCCGCCCACTACAGGGACAGCGCCAGGGGGGCGGAGCTAATGCTGCCTGAACACAAGCCACTCCCACGCGACAACCTGCTCCTGATTGGCTCTCTGTGTGACGGGCGGGCCAGCGGCTCGAGTGACGGGGTGTGGCGCGTGAGAGACGCTGGAGGGAGTGTGTCCTGTACGGTGAGTGTTACACCTGAACAAGTCTAACACATTGATAATTATCAGAAATATTATTCGCATTTCGCACGGCTGTGAGTGTGATATTGCTCATTAATATCCAAGTATATGATACATCTTTCATTCATCAGGTCAATCATATATTCATGAGAATAAATCAGTCTGAATAAGGAAAGCGATATCTTTATCATAGTATCCTTTCAATGGTTAAAGTTTCCACAGTCATTGCTTGTGCTGCACTTTATTTGCTCCATTTTGTTTTATTAGTTTATTTTTGTTTATCCATTTACCTTTTTTAGAATTGGAAAGATAATAAAGATATTGTTTGATAAGTGAGGTCTCTGATTGTAGTCCTTGAAAACCAAAAGGTAGGTGGAGTTTGATTTGACGGTGTGTGTACGAACCCTGCTGGAATGATCATGTGACACTGAAGACGCTGTTTGTGGTCCAGATGCTGACGTCGTCTTGTCTCTGGTTGGGGAGGCTGATGCTGTTTCCCACATGGAACTACATCCCCCAGAATGCACCTGACGCGGGTTACCTAGAGCTGATCGACGCTCCGGTGTGCGTGACCCTGGAGGCCATGGCCTTTGACCCCGGAGGAACCCTGAGTGAGGTCATGAGTGTGACGCGGGCGGCTGAACTTCTGAGGCAGAGGTGTGGGATGAAATGATCACAGAAGTTCTGGGATAAACGTTTATAGTTCGGATATAAGCAATGATGTCTATAGCAGCGATTAAATAGAGTAAATCACCCTTGGAAAGCAGCTTGGCGCTTCAACTAACGTCAAATTTACATCGTTACACCAGTAGGTGGAGACAAGTGACTTACAATATGTGTTTGTCTTTGAATCATCCATTCAAGAGATTTGTTCAAAAGCGTTGATTCATCCAGTAATGAAACAAGTGAATTCTTTGAGTGAGTCATTGAATCATTCACTCAAGAGATTTGTTCAAAAGTGTTGATTCATCCAGTAATGAAACAAGTGAATTATTTGAGTGAGTCATTGAATCATTCACTCAAGAGATTTGTTCAAAAGCGTTGATTCATCCAGTAATGAAACAAGTGAATTCTTTGAGTGAGTCATTGAATCATTCACTCAAGAGATTTGTTCAAAAGTGTTGATTCATCCAGTAATGAAACAAGTGAATTATTTGAGTGAGTCATTGAATCATTCACTCAAGAGATTTGTTCAAAAGTGTTGATTCATCCAGTAATGAAACAAGTGAATTATTTGAGTGAGTCATTAAATCATTCACTCAAGAGATTTGTTTAAAAGTGTTGATTCATCCAGTAATGAAACAAGTGAATTCTTTGAGTGAGTCATTGAATCATTCACTCAAGAGATTTGTTCAAAAGCGTTGATTCATCCAGTAATGAAACAAGTGAATTATTTGAGTGAGTCATTGAATCATTCACTCAAGAGATTTGTTTAATAGTGTTGATTCATCCAGTAATGAAACAAGTGAATTCTTTGAGTGAGTCATTGAATCATTCACTCAAGAGATTTGTTCAAAAGCGTTGATTCATCCAGTAATGAAACAAGTGAAGTCTTTATGAGTGAGTCATTGAATCATTCGCTCAAGAGATTCGTTCAAACGTGTTGATTCATCCAGTAATGAAACAAGTGAATTATTTGAGTGAGTCATTGAATCATTCATTCAACCGATTTTTTTGAAAGATTATTAATTCAAGTTAGTAAAATATTAACATTTAATCAGAACCTCTAGTAAATGACATGTTATTTTGTTTAGTTGTCTCTTCAGAATTGTGGGTGATATGTGTTTTATGTGACGGGTTGTGTGTGTGTGTGTCAGGTGTGAGGATCAGGTGTGTGTGTGTGTCAGCGGGCAGGTGAGCGTGGTCTGTCCGCTGCTGCTGATCGCTGGGAAGCGCTTCTTCTGCCTCATCCTCAGTGACGGAGGATCCTCAGTGCCCGTCTTCATCACGGTGAGTGTCTCAGATGATCAAGGTACACACAGAAATCATATGTAACCCCAGTTGTGAGTGTGAGTTTGTTGTCCAAGATGAGTGTGAACAACAATGGCAAGAAAACACCCTTTCCGTTGAGTTACAGTCTGATGAATCTCCCATGTGACGCAGGAAGCCAAGCATCAGTACTGGAGGCAGTGTGTGTGTGTGGGCCGGAGTGTGTGGATGTCGTCTCTGCGTGTGTGTTCACTGCAGGGTCTGGAGGGACGGCGTGTGTTGTCCGACAGCTGCCAGTCACGTCTTCATCCGCACGAGAGCTCAGAACAACCAGACACACACACAGACACACTCACACACACACACACACACACACACACACCCCTGCTGCCAAGCTCCGCCCCCTCAGTCCGAGTCAAGCGCTCCACACTCATCAGCTTCAAGGTGAGGCGCGACAAAAACTACACAATTGAAGGGGTTAATATTTTGAACTAATATTTAATATATTAATATAAACTACTAAATACTATTTTATATTTTTTAGTAATTTTTGTATTTTAAATGACTAAATTACTATTTGCTGTATTTTTTAATTATTATTATTATTAACAAAAATGTAGTAAAATTGGTGGAAATGACATCATTTAAAAGAATAAAACTGATAAAGTACTTATATTTCATACTCGTAAACAGAAAAATGCCCTTTAATCAAACAGGTGTGACCTTTGACCTGTGCTGTAACAGTGTGTTTGATTGACAGGGTACAGTCACGAAGATTTTGAACGCAGAGGCGGGGCTTTATGAGATTGACAGACAGGTGGGGCTTTGTCTGGCCTATCAGCCGGCTCAGAAATGGGGCGGCGGCTTGAGGCCGGGGGCGGAGATTCAGGTGAGTGTGATGTCATCAGGTGAGTGTGATGTCATCACAAAACTCACATTCAACATTTCTGCGAATATGATCCTGCTTTGATGACTTCATTCACTCTAGAAGCCAAAAAAATAAAAAATTCTCAAAAATATGCTCACTAATATTCAGCCTGCGCAGAATCCCCTTTATAAACCCAGTCAGAGGAAGATTGTGAACATGCGTCTCCTCCCCGAAAACAAGATATAATATCCTATGACATTTACTACTTTAGTAAATCCATCTAGATGTAATGTTTTTTTTTAGATATTTGGACTGGAAACAAGACAAAAATACTAAGCATACTAAGAAAGAAATACTAAGAAAAGCATGTTTTGTGCGACGCAACGGTTATAAATGAAACCCCTGATTTCCTCAAACTAATGATCCAAATATTTGAAAAAACATCTTTTTCCCGCAGCTCCACAACGTCCACTTCACGTACAACGCTTCCCCGTTCGCTCCGCGAGTCGTGCTGTGCGCGTGTCTGCGCTCCAGCGTGCAGATCAGCGCCTTCAGCCGCCTGAGGTCAGAGGTCGAGGCGTCCGGGTCACATGGGCCGCTGCAGCGCCTCCTGCTGGAGAGGAATCTGGGTGCGTCGCAGTATCTGTGGCTCTGCTACTGCTATAGCGCCGTGAGCGAGAGGTGATGACCACCACACACACGCACTGTTCAACAATCAGTTTAAACAACAAAGCAAATTAACGATGCGGCTTATTGCGATTTTTAAACATCAGTGTGTGCGCTGTGTGTTTCGGAGTGAAGCGCAGCGCTGTGTTTATTTACAGTTGCAATGAGAAGCTCTTATCAACAAAAGAGAAGCTTTAAGGCTCACCGTGGCTCTCCGTCGAAATAAAAACTTGCTGGTTTATGTTTGAAAATGAAGAAATGAACAGTTATAATATTAGTATTGTCGTTTTATATGATTATACTGTAAAATAAAATTCCTATTTTATGTCTTATAAATCACAACACTGTGGCGTATGGTTTGTGTGTGTGTGTGTCAGGTTGTGTCCGCGCTGGGTGAGAGCGGAGCGAGTGTGTGTGGTCGCCGCGCGGCTGTTGGAGTTTGTGTGTGAGGCTGAACAGAAGACACAGAAAAAGAGGAACATTTACAGAGAGATGATACAGGAACCGCACCAGTGCCCTGTTACCACGGTAACACTCACATACTGTTACCACGGTAACACTCACATACTGTTACCACGGTAACACTCACATACTGTTACCACGGTAACACTCACATACTGTTACCACGGTAACACACACATACCCTGTTACCACAATAACACCCACTCATGCCGGTACCATGGTAACATGCATGCATACCCTGTTACCATGGTAACATACACGCATACCCTGTTACCACAGTAACACCCACTCATGGCGGTACCATGGTAACACACATACCCTGTTACCATGGTAACACCACTCACACATACATTTACCATAGTAACACCCACATATACCTTTAGCATAGTAACTTACACACATACTCTTTTACCATGGCAACACACACACCCTGTTACCTCGGTAACACCCACACATACCCTGTTACCACGGTAACACCCACACATAACATGTTACCACAGTAACACCCACATATGTTGTTACCATGGTAACACCACTCACATACACTGTTACCTCGGTAACACCCACATATACCTTTAGCATAGTAACTTACACACATACTCTTTTACCATGGTAACACACACACACACACACCGTTACCACGTAACACCCACACATGCTGTTACCATGGCAAAACACACACACCCACCCTGTTACCTCGGTAACACCTAAGCATACCCTGTTACCACGATAACACCCACACATACCATGTTACCACGGTAACACCCACATATGGTCGTTACCATGGTAACATAAACACATACTCTGTTACTACGGTGACACACAAACCCTGTTACCATGGTTATAAACACATACACCACAGTAACATCCGTTAGTTGCTAGAGCAAAATCATGTATATAAATCATTGCAAAAAATGCATTTTGATGTTGTTTTTTTCACAAAAGATTTTGATGCACAAAAATCTCTCTCTCTCTCTGTGTGTCAGTACTGTGTGTGCTGGCCGTCGGTGGCGCTGTGGTCAGTGAGACAGGTGTGTGAGTGGATGAGGCGTGAGGTGTGGGTGTCTCTCTCTCTGCCGTCTCTCCTCCCTCCCTCAGCGGGTCACATGACGTCGCTGGAGCTGAACGCTTCGCTGTCCTGGTCCACACACTCGGCCCCGCTCACACACACACACTTGGACCCGCTGCTGTTACTGGGGGTTCTGGAGCTGGACTCGACCCGTGCCACGTTGCAGCTCCGAGACCAGACGCACGCGCTCGACTGTGTGTGTGTCCAGACCGGCCAATCAGGAGCCATCGACACCGCCTGGCAGGGTAATCACACACTCACACTCAACATGACTATTATTATTACAAATTACATATTACTGTGTTTTATGTGACAGCAGTATTAGTTTAGATTGTATGAATATTTTGAATTAGCTTTTATTTTTATATTTTTAGTTTTCATGTTAATTAAAGTTAAAGGTGCAGTGTGTAAGTTTTAGCGCATCTAGTGGTCAGGTTGTGAATTGCACCCAACAGAAGTAACGGTGGCCGACAGGAAGTGATGTCGTCAGCTGAGACATTTACTGCTTAATTGCGTGTAAACATGCTCAGTGTTTTTAATGGAGATGTTCAGGTTTATTGAGTGAAACTCTCGTGGCTTATTTCTTGAGGTGTGTGTGTGTGTGTGTGTGTGTGTGTTAAGGCTGTCTAGTGTGTGTGCGGCAGTGTACTTTAGTCATGGAGAGGTTCATGAAGACAAATTTCCCTTCCTGGAAACACCTGGATCAGCCAAGTTACATCACACACAAACACTGCAGGTACACACACACACACACACACACTCTCTCTCTCACACACACACACTCTCTCACACATACACACACACACTCTCTCTCTCTCACACACACACACACACACACACACACACACACACACACACACACACACACACACACACACACACACACACACACACAGACACCTAAACACTGCAGGTACACACACATTCTCTCTCTCTCTCACGCACACACACACACACACACACACACCACAGGTACACACACATACATACACACACACTCACTCTCTCTCACACACACACACACACACACACAAGCACTGCAGTTACACACACACACACACACGCAGATATTTTTGTACAGTAGCACATTTCATACATTCAAAGTGCTTTACATAAAAATTGGTTAAAATAATAGTAAAAAGAACTCAAAATAACAATATAAAGTATCTGTGTGTGTGTGCAGGGTTTATCTGCAGCTCCGTGTGGATGATCTGACCATCATCAGTCCGTCTGCTGCCATGAGCCGCCGTCTGTCGGAGAGACGAGAGGAGTCCGCTCCGAGACCCAGACGACCTTTGACCCCTGCGGCAGCGCCCGAACGACCTCTGACCCCTGCGGCAGCGACCGAACGACCTCTGACCCCTGCGGCAGCGCCCGAACGACCTCTGACCCCTGCGGCAGCGACCGAACGACCTCTGACCCCTGCGGCAGCGCCCGAACGACCTCTGACCCCTGCGGCAGCGCCCGAACAACCTCTGACCCCTGCGGCGTGTGTGAGTCTGCTCCTCCGGCTGGAGAGCAAGCAGGGCGTGAGGCTCCAGAACGGCTCCGGCGCGGGTCACACACACACACACACACTGCAGCTGGGCTTCGTGTGCCGAGCCGTGTGTCTGGGAGACGCTCAGCGCTGGGAAAACGACCCCAGGAACTGCAGGACGCAGGAGCGGGAGCGAGACGGAGGAAGCAGGAAGGTCAGGAGCGCCAGTTATCGCCACAGCTGTCGTATTAAGGCCTGTTCAAATCAAGAACTATAACGATAACTATATTAGCATTCACACCAAGAACGGTAACTATAACGATAACTATATTAGCGTTCACACCAAGAACGATAACTATAACGATAACTATATTAGCATTCACACCAAGAGCGGTAACTATAACGATAACTATAACTATATTAGCGTTCACACCAAGAACGGTAACTATAACGATAACTATATTAGCGTTTACACCAAGAATGATAACTATAATTATATTAGCGTTCACACCAAGAACGATAACTATAACGATAACTATATTAGCGTTTACACCAAGAACGATAACTATAATTATATTAGCGTTCACACCAAGAACGATAACTATAACGATAACTATATTAGCGTTTACACCAAGAACGATAACTATAATTATATTAGCGTTCACACCAAGAACGATAACTATAACGATAACTATATTAGTGTCACACCAAGAACGATAACTATAACTATATTAGCGTTCACACCAAGAACGATAACTATAACGATAACTATATTAGCATTCACACCAAGAACGATTACTATAACGATAACTATATTAGCGTTCACACCAAGAACGATAACTATAATTATATTAGCGTTCACACCAAGAACGATAACTATAACGATAACTATATTAGTGTCACACCAAGAACGATAACTATAACTATATTAGCGTTCACACCAAGAACGATTACTATAACGATAACTATATTAGCGTTCACACCAAGAGCGGTAACTATAACGATAACTATATTAGCGTTTACACCAAGAACGATAACTATAATTATATTAGCGTTCACACCAAGAACGATAACTATAACGATAACTATATTAGCGTTCACACCAAGAATGATAACTATAACGATAACTATATTAGCGTTCACACCAAGAACGATAACTATAACTATATTAGCGTTCACACCAAGAACGATAACTATAACTATATTAGCGTTCACACCAAGAACGATAACTGTAACGATTACTAGATTATATATTCTGGACCTCTGCGATTATATTCTCCACGATGTCTTCTGCCATTTTAAATGCGCGAGCCCTTTACATTCAAGTGGATTTTGATTGGCTGTCAGTGTTTTATCGTTTGACAGTTGGAAAAAAATCGTTCTGAAAGTGATCCCAACGATATCGCTCCTCATATCTTTAACGTTATAGCTGTGCTATTCTTTAATTTGGAGCACGAATTTTAGAACTATATCTTTATCGTTATCTTTACAGTTATAGTGAACGGTTCTTTAGTGTATCTGTATTCTTTAGTGATGTGTGTGTGTTTTGCAGATTGAGCTGCACTTCATGGGTTCGTGTGTTCGCTGGTTCCCCGTCCTTCATCCTGGGTGTGTGTACAGACTAATCGCACCCAACACTGCGGTACGACTCGCTTTCCTCCACCATTTTACTGTCTGATATTAGACTGTTTATTCTGATCAAGAACCGCCCACTTCAACAGGAAGAGACCGTCTGACGGACATGTACAGCTTCTACTTCTTTTTCTTCTTCTTCTTCTTCTTCTGCTAAATCATGCTAGAAGCAATGTGCTAAATCATGTTAACAATGTGCTAAATCATGCTAGCAACATGTTAAAACATATTAGCAAAATATGCTAAATCATGCTAGGAGCACTAACAATGTACTTAATCATGCTAGCAACATACTAAATCATGCTTGGTGCTAATTCATGTTAATAACATGGTAGCAGTGTGCTACATCATGTTAGCAATGTGTTAAATAATGCAAGCAACATGTTAAAACATGTTAATAATGTGTTCAATCATGTTAGCAACATGCTAGTAAAATGTTAGCAGTGTGTTAAGTCATGCTAGCAGCATGTTAAAACATGTTAGCAATGTGCTAATTTAAGCAAGAAACATACTAACAACATGTTAAATCATGTTGGCATCATGCTAAACATGTTAGCAATGTGCTAATTTATGCAAGAAACATGCTAGTAACATGTTAAATCACGTTTGCATACACCAAATCATGTTAGCATTCATGTTAGAAACCACTAGCAACTTGTTAAATAATGCTAACAATGGTAAAACATGTTAGCGATGTCTTAAATAATGCTAAAACATGTTAACAATGTGCTGAATCATGTTAACAATTTATTAAATTATGCAAGAAACATACTAGCAATGTAAATCATGCTAGCAATGTTAAAACATGTAAACAATGTGCTAAATCATGCTAGCAATGTGTTAAATCATGCTAGTAAAATGTTAGCGATGTGTTAAAGGGACTTTATCATGGCTGTCCTTCTGTGAAACATAAAAAAATATACTTTGAAAGATGTTAGGAGTAGAAGTAAGTCACCCGGGTTTGATGGCATGACTGCGAGTTAATGATGTCATCTCTCCGTCTCTCAGGATGTGAGTGTGTTAAAGGCCACAGGAGTTTCTGCGAGGGGCGGAGTCACACAGCTCGTTAGCCCCGCCCTCCTGCTGCAGCCGCAGTGGCGCTTGCACACGCTAACAGACACGCTAACAGACGGCCAGGTACAGATCGTCTTAGTTTAGCACAGCACGTTAAACTAAACGAAACCGAGAAATGTTTCCTCAGCAACTAGCTGAAATAAAACAATTTGTTTTTGTATTCCATCAGGCAGGTGTTCCTGCGCTCATGAGCGTATCCGAGGTTCTTCACAGCAGGTGACGAGTATCCGCTACAGCTAATCACATCTATAAACGTTTGTGTGTGTGTGTGTGTGTGTGTGTGTGTGTGTGACAATCTAGACAATTTTAAACAATCATAATAATAAATATTTGTAGTAATAATAATAGTGTCAGTAATAATAATTGTGTTTTAACAGCTCCGCCCCTGAGATCGTCTCCTTTTATGGAGTCGTTTCTCAGCGAATCACATTACAGGAGGAAGGCGGAACTAAACCCAAGATCCAATCACTGACTGCCGCTAAAGGTGTGGCTCCGCCTCCTCGTAAGCCCTATCCGGGCGGTACTTGTTCCTCATGGGGGCTTACGGTATTGGGTTAGTCGGTGATTTTATTGCCGTCCGAATCCAGAATGCCAGTGTTTTTCTCCCAGCACTCCCATGACCTGCTGTTTTTATCAAACACCACTGTCTGAGTTTACAAGAAGAGATCACTTCAAAACTCACTGTTTAAATCCTCTTTGGCCACCGCAGAGCGCCCCGCTAACTTCCAATTTTTTCAATTACTTCATTTTGAGATAAATTGCAAGACAGAAAAACATTATATAGCGTATCTATCTTCAGATTTTTAAATAATCAAATAATTAATATGATATTATCATTACACTAAATATGAATTTATTCTCATTATTCCAAGCATGTGACATCTTATTCACAGCAATAAAATGGTAACAATTACAATTTGTGAATAAATTGTATTATAATAATACTAAATAAATCGCCACATGAGGAACAACTACCGTCGGAACAGGGCTTCAGTCTCTATGTGTGTGTGTGTGTGTGTGTGTGTGTGTGAGTTTGACAGAAATCTCCCCTGTGATCCCCAGATCCAGGCGTTGTGGAGGACCTGAGGGTGCGTGTGAGCGTCCAGGATTCTGCACGCGCTGGTCATGTGATCCACGTGTACCTGGACCTGTCGAGCGGCCCGTACACACACGGCCTGATCCCCGGGGCGGCGCTGCAGATACACCACGTGCAGCGCAAAGTGTCCCGGTGAGGCTTTTACACACTCTTGATCCAACAGGGGTTTATTATTAAACAAACTGATGGTCTGAAACTTTCATTGATTCGTTCAACAGTTCAGGAGGAACTCGGACACCCTGCGCTATACAGCAAACCCCAGATTATCACCAGGGTTCCTACAAGCTGCTTAAAGGGACAGTTCACTTTGAAATAAAGTTTTGGTGTGTTTTAGCTTACCTCAAGGGCATCCAAGATGTAGGTGTCTTTGTGTCCACAGTATTTTAAATTTTGATATTTTTAGGTCAAACCGTTCTTGTCTGTCAGTCATATAATGCAGGTCTATGGTCACCACCTCAAAGAGCATGCACAGAGAAGTCCAAATTAAACATGATTTAATGACTCGTAAATGTAAGTACACATTGATGGACTAAGACACGAAACGAGCGGTTTGTGTGAGAAAATGAACAGTATTTATATCGTTTTTACCTCTTGTAAACACAGCCACGTCCAAGTGATCTGAGGGCGCCGGCGCTTCGGTCTGGAAGTGATCTCTCGTGCCTGTACGTCACTCATTGTTTACACAGAACAGAGATTGTAGGAAAGACGGCTAATTAAAATGGTACTAATTTGCGCTTATCCGGGATGTTTAAACCGTCGTAAAAGAAAACAATTAGAAAAAATAAAACAGTTGTATGAGTGACGTACACGCGTGAGAGATCACTTCCAGACCGAAGCGCCGGCGCCCTCAGATCACTTGGACGTGGCTGTGTTTACAAGAGGTAAAAACGATATAAATACTGTTCGTTTTCTCACACCGCTCGTTTCGTGTCTTAGTCCATCACTAGCCGCGTTTCCATTACAGATTTGCGCAAAACTTTTGCGTTTTTTCTAAATATCGATAAAAAACTATTGCGATATGACGGCGTTTCCATTAACCGATGTTATGCGACTTTGGACGTTTAGGTTTAACACATGTGAATAGACGTGCAGCCACCGCACAAGACATTATTATTATTAATGGAAGGAGACGTGGTGTGTTATCCAAGCATTAATGGTAAGGAAAGACCCTAATACTGTGAACGGCACATGAGGTGTTTTTGCGTGTTTCTCCCTCATTTCTGCTCCAAGGTCTTGATTGTGGCATTTCTTTGAGGTTTAGAATCCAGTATTCCTGCAATTCTTTTTTCTTTTATGAATTTAATAAAGAACTTTGTCTCGTATTCTGTCCAAACGGTCCGTGTACTTTTGCGACCATTTATTTTTCCTTTTTTAACCCGTAGCCTAATTGAAAACCAGCCCGACTGAGCCATGTCTCTGGAACCATAGCCTAGGTGATTTATAGGTGATTATAGGCTAATTATAATAAATGTGTCTGAAAAAATAACTAGGCATTTTAATTGTTTATTAATAACTACAGTGTTAGTGCCGACTGCAAACATATTTTCATCTCCACTGTAAAGCGGATGGGATGCGCCTTTAGAGAGAAATGCACCTTTCATATGGATTACATAATCAGAAGGTATTTGCTTTCGATTTGAATTTGTTCGTTCAAGCTTTAGCCTATAGGCTATATTTTGTTTCAGTTCATTTCTGAGACATGTTCCAGTTCACGGAGATCATGAAAGCGCGCCTGATTTATTTAGCAAAAGAAGAACGTTTTCTTGTTATTGTGAGTTTACACAAATAAAAGTAGTTGCGGATTATGTATTATTATTTTCTGTATGACCATAAATTATAGAGTATTTTAAGTTGTTTCCACTGTTGACAGGAAAATTCAAGTGTTCGCGTCCGCGCTTCCGTCATCCAGTGCGCGCTCCACAAACCCTTGGATATACGTCAAAATCTTGTGTTTATTTGTGATAATCTTAGCCCTGTATTATTGTCTAACCTGTATTATGAATGACATTTGACGAATTGCTTTGTTCCTTTTTTGGATAAAAGCGCCTTCTAAATATGTAGGCTAATAAATGTAGCCTAATAAATGTAATAGGCTATAATAATAATTATTATTATTATTTGCGTTTATAACTATAAATGACTTCACTTAAGACAGTAATATATTTATCATAAAATAATTGATGAATGTATTATTTTTATATAACCTTTTACAGTTTTGGAAAATGAGTTTGTGTTATATTTCTTTTTTTGTATGAGAAGTCTTTTTTTGCTATTCTATTATAGCCTATGGAAAAACGAATGGACGCAATAGCCTACACGGACCCCAAACACACGCGCCTTCTAAGTCAGGTGACTGTAATTGCGCAAAAACTGTTTCCATTGCAGTTTTGCGAAATATTCCTTTTTCGAATTGCCTGAAAAACCACCTCATGCGAGCGTAAAAACTTTTTTGCGATAAATGGGAGTTTTTGCGAAATTGACATGTTTCCATTGAGCGTATTTTTAATTCGCAATTTCAATTTGCGCAATTTGAAGGGTAATGGAAACGCGGCTACTGTGTACTTACATTTACGAGTCATTAAATCATGTTTAATTTGGACTTCTCTGTGCTGCTCTTTGAGGAGGTGACCATAGACCTGCATTATATGACTGACAGACAAGAACGGTTTGACCTAAAAATATCAAAATTGAAACTAGGCTTGCTACGGTAGTCGGTGTTACCAGTGTTACACGGTGTTCAGGCGCAACACCGGTTTCATCACTTGTCCACCGCGACACCGCAAAAAAAAAAAAAATATATAGAAAAATAGGCATATATTTATATATTTAACGCAATTACGCAGTAGGCTATCCGTTTTTTTCTGTCACCCGTTGACTAGCGTTGTATGATCACGCTCTTATTAATGTGAATTATAGACTAAAGAGACCGCGCTGTCCTGCCTACACACACACACACACACACGCGCGACCCACAGAAAAGACGCGCGTCAGTATCGAGTTCTCTCTCGGGCTTGAACAAACCATAACACACACAAATTATGCCAAAATGTCAGTTTCGTCGAGTGTCCTCATAAGAGCAGTCTTAAATGATTTAAATAAAGTCTTAAATTAACGTAGAGATTTGTGAGAAAATGGGACGCGTGTCGATCGCGTCTCTGTCAGCAGCAGCAGCTGGTCTTAAAGTGTCATTAATGTTAATCAAAGAACACAGGTAAGAGAGTAAATGACTCACTCAGACCCGGAGCCAGGAGGATTATTACACCGGCAGCCTAATAATCATGAATGCACTCCGCTATCTTTAACACATCTCCGGCGAACGGCTTCTTCATGCAAAAGAAAAACTCTTCATGAAGCGCAGTGATATTCAGCGACCTATAGCGTTTCCTGATGGATCGAGGTTGTTCGTTAACTTCATTTTATACGTGCAACTCACGTAGCCATATGACACTGACAACGCAATGACAGACAGGACAGAGCAGGTAATATTTAATATGAAACAAAGTCTCAACTTTCAAATTTGGTCAGTCAAAGAAAATTAAACAATAGGCCTACCGTTTTGTGGCTCTGTGAGAGATTGCCTCAGTTAAAGACAAGTTCAAATCCACCGACGTTAATCTACTAATCTAGACTACTAAACTACTAACTCTCCTGACTGCTTTGTCGGACAAAAATGGTGGATTTTGATCTGTCAGATCACATCAAACTCCCTGCGAGGGATGAATTGACGCTAATGTATTAGTGACAGTGAAGTGCACACTGCTGCAGTAGCACCGCGATGTAAAAAAAAATTAGTTTCGTTTTCAAATGAGCGGCAATTCAGCGCACAATAACAAAACAGTGTTGCTCCGCACGACCATTATGCATGCATGCCCGTGCAAACGCGCGCATTTTACATCTGCCTTTAAATGAGCGATTTAAAAGCCCCCGCCGGTGATTACCAGTGTTGTAACACGTCGATTAACCGGTGTGAAAAAATCCTCACCGTCACATCCCTAATTGAAAATACTGCGGAAACAAAGACACCTACATCTTGGATGCCCTTGAGGTAAGCTAAAACATACCAAAAATTAATTCCAAAGTGAACTATCCCTTTAAAGTGCTTGACTTTGACGTTTTGAAATGTCAGTCCTGGAAAACCCCTGAAAACAGCCATATTTATGAAGAGCTGCTTGAATTATTTAAAAAATACATATGTGAAATTAGTGTTTAATGTTATTGATAAAACAATCTTTTCACACAATATTAACGCTGCAACCCGTCTGATGTAGATATAGAGGCATTTCGCACGGCTGTGAGTGTGATATTGCTCATTAATAGATGCATCTTTCATTCATCAGGTCAATCATATATTCATGAGAATAAACCAGTCTGAATAAGGAAAGCGATATCTTTATCATAGTATCCTTTCAATGGTTAAAGTTTCCACAGTCATTGCTTGTGCTGCACTTTATTTGTTCCATTTTGTTTTATTAGTGTATTTTTGTTTGTCTATTTACCTTTTTTAGAATTTAAAAGATAATAAAGATATTGTTTGATAAGTGAGGTCTCTGATTGTAGTCCATGAAAACCAAAAAGTAGAGCTTGAAAAGTCCTGGAATTATATTTCACAGTGTGTGTACGAACCCTGTATTAATATTTTCTTAGTTTTCTTACTACTGTTTACAAATTATCCAAAGAGTCTTCTGTATTTTACTATTATATTATATTATCACCTGTCAAAAGTTTGGAAACATTACAATTGTTCAATGTTTCTGAGAGAAGTCAAATTTTTTTTATCAAAAATGTATTTGCTGCTTAAGAAACGTTTCTGATTATTATCAATGTTGAAAACTGTTGTGCTGCTTCATATATTTGTGGAAATGGTCATTCTTTTTGCAGGATTTACAAACAGCATTTATTTGCATTTAAATAAATTAATATATAAAGTGTATTAATTTATTTAGTTACATTATACGTCTATACTGTCACTTTTAATCAATTTAATAATGTATCCTTTTTTTAATAAATTTTTTTTTAATCTTACCACAAATGTTTGAATGGTATCATCGTTTCCCTGAAAATCTGTAAAGCTGCTTTGAAAAAGTGTTTGTGAAAAACAATAGAAGTGTGTGTGTGTGTTTCAGGGCGGGTAACGTGTACTGCCGCTCTCTTCCCATCAGCTGTGTGAGCGTCACTGATCTGAGTTCAGTCTGTTCAGGGTGAGTGTGTTTACTTACACTTATTATTATTATTATTATTATTTATTATTAGGGTTGGGTATCGGTTGGGTTTTATCCGATTCCAGTACCTACTCGGTATTTTTTAAACGGTTCCGGTGCCTAAACGGTTCTTAAATCGGTACTTAAGAAAATGAAACCGCACACACTTTATCAAAAAATAATACCCTTTAATTTACAGGGCCAAACTGGACACAATATTAACTTAAAGCTTTAAACAATATAAATACAAGTAACATATGGTAATAATAAAACCAATAAAAAATTGTACATTACATTTAACATTTTACACATTTACATAATATCAAATAAAACAATATTGTATCAAACAATGTAATATTAATAGAGATTACTAGCAGGCAGAGCTGCCAACTCTCACGCATTGACCGTGAGACTCACGTAATGGGCTATATGCACGCATAAGTTCCGCGTTTGACGCAAGGATGCTCGTGCGTTTCCGATTGGGGAGATTTAAAGCGGAGGAAAACCGAGGAAAACGGGATTATGGCAGAGTCTTCAAAATTTACTGTCCTCTCGTCTTTGAAACGAAACTTTAATACGTTTAGATGTAATTTTATATATAGTTATATTTATTTAATATAATAAACACAGAAGCATAAACAAAACGAGGGGTGTCTGTTTTGTCTGTTTTTGTGACTAACGTTTCTTTAGTTTAGCAATAGAGTATAAAAACCAATATAAATTCTCGGTATAGCATTGGACTCTACGATCGGCGGAAGTAATCCAGCATCCTTAGACCTTCACCGGAAATACCGCCGTGCATAGAGCCCGTTGACCCTTTTCACACGCTCTCACGCCACACATCCATTTTCTCACGCAGAGAAAATCGCGGACAAAGAGGACACCGACAGACAAGACAGAGAAGGTTACTTTTGATATGGAACAAATCCACAGCTGTCAGATTCGGTCAATATTTTTACGAGATTCACACAATAAATAACGTTTTGGCTCTTAGAAATGTGACAGATCGCTGTAGCGCGTCAGTTCAAACGGCACGTGATACAGCAGCCTACAAATCCACTGCTTCTTCTTAGCTACGCAGCGTTGAGTGAACCTATGAAAGAGAACATCTCTGGTTACTGGTGTAACATATCTCTCAATAGGGAACGGGATGCTGCCAAGCTCCTCGCGCTGCCGACCAGCTTCCTTTTTTCGGCAGAGAAATCTGAGGAGCAGATGGCGCGCCCGCGCCAACATAATATGTCGACGTAAGTGCGTCGATGCGGCGCCCGCGCCATCAGCCAATGGATTGGCTTGATTCTATATGGGATTCAGACTATCGGCACACCCAGAGGGCGTTCTGACACGTAATTTTACACGTGAAATGCAGCCAAACCTTGCGAGCAAGAGCGTGCATGCGAGACAGAAGAGACTGTGCGTGTGTGTGTGCGTGTGTGTCTAATTAAGTCAGGCACCGAAATTGTCGTTCTTATTCGGTCTGGTTACTACCGTT